AAAAGCAAACACCTGCCAAGTGATGCTGGCATTCAATAATTACCTGATAGTGCAGCAACCAAATAAAGCATTTAAAGTTTCCTCAGTAAAAACCTTCATCAAATTATATCCTTAGCACTTCAAATCTCCATCATTTAAGTAAGATGAAAGGAGAAAAGTAACACCTATGTGAAACTTTTTAAAAGCTGTTGCTATATGGCTTCTGAATTTTTGAGGCGTGGTCTTGCTATTTCCACAAAAGCTGTTTTCATCCAAAAGATGCAGACTTCCCTGTAACTCTACTCTCTAAAAATCTCTTGCTCTAGTTCATACCATGTAATAGCAGCTAATGACTCTATTACACCAACTGGACTGCTGCTTCCTGTCAAATAAGAGTGCTAACTACATGACAGAAAAAAATCAAGTAGGTGAAAGTGAAAACAAAATGAACAAAAAAACAGTGCCCTTTACCACTGCTCATCTGTGTGGAGGCAAGTGTCTTCTCATTCACCCTCTCGTGGTTGGTGGGAAAGGCAGACGTCTCTCTATCTGCTGGTAATACCAGGCTCTCCAGCGTTGTGGCATCTTGGGAAGGATGTGCCAGATAAGTCTCTTTGGGCATCTGGACCATGAGGCTGGACAGTGTCTGATCTAGAACATCCTCCTCAGCAATGTAGGTGTACGGACAGTATTCTCGCGTCCGGGAGTAGATGTTGGCATTGTCGTAACAATCTGAGCAGATAACCCGGGTTCCAGAGCCACCTAGGTCAACAGGGGATAGAAGCCGAACAGCCTTCAGTTGAGGAACCAGCTTTACCATCATCAGTTTTCCCCAACAGTTGCCGTCATTATCATCAGAGCTGGCAATTATTCCACATTTATTTTATAGACCAGGTGAAGTTCGAAGGCCTTCTGTCAATTAACTGTTTAATCCTCACAACATCCCTGTACGGTGGGTACTATTATTTCCCCACCTTCCAGATGGAGTAACTACAACACAGGGAAATTCAGTAACTGGCCCACGCGCACGGCCAGAGTGAGGAGCTGAAATCTGAACTCGGCACTCGGGCTCCAGCTCGTGCTCTTGACTAAGCCACCTTTGTCCAGCCTGGGTAAGGTCGTGCTCAAATCAGGGCGCCAAAACAAGGCTGGCACTGTGCTACAAGACATGCTTGGCTTAAGCAAACTGAAGCAGAGAACAAGGAGTTGTGATCGCTTCACTTCACAAAAGCCCATATTACTTTCATGAGGCAAGAGGTTAAGCAACACTAGCTGCGGAAAGTACCCCTGAGAAAGCCAAGAGTCCTGCCCAACAAATACGTGTTTGGCAGAAGTAAAAGTAACAGTGAGCTCCCTGGACTGTTATGTGCTTTGAAAACTGAATGATGAAAGAGAGTGAGGAATAAAGCGTGAGGTACTTAATTCACGATCAAGCAACAAAATTTTAGAACTGGAAGAAATCGAAATGTAATTTTGTTTAACCCAGAAAGCAGTGTTATTGCCCACAAATTTCAGAGTGAAGGCTTTACATATTTTTTAAAAGCTAAAAATACCCCCTTTTTCAAGGAGAACCAAAAAATCCAACTTGTCAATTACATAGAGAAGTTCTGTCAACACCCAGCATAAAAAATCTCTAGAAATGAAATAGACCTTTCATTTGTATAGGACTTGAAGTATTACACAGATTTGTTGAAAGAATCTGCTAAAACTTGAGGAAAGTGCTTTATAAAATAGTTTATTTTAGCTACAAGGAAATTAAAGCTCAGATGTTAACTTGTTCATGGCCACAGAGCTGGAAAGAGGTATTAGGCATCAACCCCGATTCTATCCCTTCATTCACCTTCCTGTGGGAAGGACGGAATGGGAAGAATAGCGATGCTGAGAATGTGGGTTCGATTAGGGAACATTTCATCTCTCTGATATATGCTGGAAAACATCATCACCGTGTAAACTTTAGCGACTATATACCTGTCAGCAGGAGAAACAAACCTCCCTGAACATGGTCTGAAGGATGGTCACGCCTGAGACCAGATAAAAGACACCGAAAAAACACTTCCAGAGCTTCTCCTTCCCATAGTCACACTGGTTACTATGTGGGAGACTGCTGGGTAGTACTCTCAATCCCATTAGGATGTGTTTCTCCTGTCAGGTGCCTTTCTTCTCTGTTTAAGACTTTAGTCAATTTTTATCCTATTTTGCATGGGGCCAAATGTTTTGAGTATCTCTTTTAAAATACTGCTTCAGGTTAAAGGGCAAAACTAGACACTAAAAAATAAACTCAAGCGGGTAGGGCTGCAATGTAAGCGTAAGGAAGAGTCATTACCATCAGTGCCTTTGTGTAAATATCCATTGGCAGGAGGCATGAGCTGCTGATGACTGCCTGCCTCAGAGTTGCTGTAGCCTTCCTGTGGCTCAGACAGAGTTCCTTGGGAAGACAAGTAGCTGGGAATGTCTGCAGGCAGGTTAAGCTCCTCTGCAAAAGAGAAATCTGCATGTAACTCACAAATAAAGCTAGGCAGTTTAAGCCAATGCCTAGAAGACCACTGTATAAATGTGTTCCACTTGGATTCTATTGGCCAGGAAAATGTTTTATGTATACCTAGGAACTTAAAATTTCCCCTGAAATTTCTCACTAGAATTTCCCCTAAAATCATCTCACTAGACTTCTTCTCAAAGCTTCATTGTAATAGTATTACCAAGAGGAACAAAACCTAAAGTCAGAAATCTTATCTGTGGGTACTTTCACAGTCTATGGCTGCAACTCCTCCCACAGAAT